TATCGTTGTGCACAATGGGAAAACTTGTACCCAAGGTTGCCGGCCACCAAGGGACGTCGGGCTGACTGTTCAGAGGTCGAGCCGCCGGAAAACGCTCCCAAAAGCCGCAAGTCTGCTGCACCAGGTACTGTCACGTACGAGGACTGCCGCACCTGCTGCTGCCACGAGTGGAACCGTCGAAGAACGTCGGAAGTCTGCTGCCACGAGGGGTCGTCGACGGTGGTCGTGAGGCAGGACAAGAGGTGAGACCTTATTGTTTTCTTGAGGGGGCAAACACGTGAAGGACGGGGGAAAAACGTGGCTAGGTTTCTTTTACCCTTTTTTTTTAATTCTCTTGATTTTCCTCAATATGTTCCAACCCTAAAAGCCCAATTTACCCAAGGATCGGCCCATAGGTTAGAGTAAACAAATCTCTAAGTTCCCTAACTCATTGCTCAACAAAAAGAGAGCCCAACCGAACACACCACAACTATTTGAGTTAAACAAAATAAGGACACTTCAAATTTAATAAATAAATAAAGCAAGGTAAAATATTTTAACGTGAATTTAAATAAATTTGAGTTAAAATCTCAAGAGTCGAGATAAAATCTAACCTAAGTAATGCGAGGCGTTACATCAACGTTAGAAAACGAGACGTTGAAGGAAAGGTATAGACCTGTAAGGCTAGACTTGTGGCAAAGGGTTACACCTCTATGAGGAAACCTTCTTCACGGTTGCCATGCTAAATGTATAAGAATACTCTTGTCCATTGTCAAGTTTTATGTTTATGAAATCTAGCAAATGGATGTCAAGACTGCTTTTCTGAATGTCACTCTTTAAGATAGTATTTATATGTCTCAACTAGAAGAATTCATTAAGCAAGGTCAAAAGCAAAAGATTTGCAAGCTTAAACGATCCATTTATGGATTAAAACAAGCATCTCGATCTTGGAATATAAGATTTGATACTGCAATCAAGTCTTATGGTTTTGACCATAATGTTGACGAGTCTTATGTATACAATTAGAAGGCCATCAACAATACTGTAGCTTTCTTGGTGTTGTATCTGGATGCTACAGTGGGATGATGTAGGTTTCCTAATAGACATCAAGAAATGTCTAGCAACTGAATCCCAAATGAAAGAGTTGGGAGAAGCTCAATTTGTTATATGGATTCAAATTATAAGGAATCGAAAGAACAAAAAGCTAACCCTGTCTGAAGCAACTTAAATCGACAAAATGCTAGTCATCTATTCAATGCAGAATTCCAAAAAAGGTTTACTACCTTTCAGACACGGAATCCTCTGTCTAAGGAATAATGTCATAAGACACCTCAAGAAGTTTAGGTTAAGAGATGCATTCCATATGCTTCAGTAGTGGGTAGCCTAATGTATGCCATGTTGTATACCATGCCTAACATTTGCTATAGAGTAGGGATTGTCAGCAGGTATCAATCCAGTCAAGAATATGATCATTGGATTACCGTTAATGGAATCCTTAAGTATCTTAAGAGAACGAGAAACTATATGCTTGTGTATGGCACTAAGGATTTGATCTATAAAGGATACACTAACTCTGACTTCCAAAGTGATAAGGATTCAAGCAAGTCAACTTCGGGATCAGTGTTCACTCTTAATGGAGGAGCTGTACTGTGGCAAAGCATCAAACAAATATTTATCGCAGACTCCACAATGGACGCTGTATATGTTGCCGCTTGTGAAGCTGCAAAAAAGGTGTTGTGGCTTAGGAAGTTCTTAACTGATTTGGAAGTTGTTCCAAACATGACTTTACCCATCACACTTTATCGTGATAACAGTGATGCTGTGGCAAATTCTAAAGAACCCCGAAGTCACAAAAGAGGCAAGAACATCGAGAGGAAGTATCACTTGATACGAGAAATAGTGCAACGAGGAGACGTGATCGTCACGAAGATCGCTTTGGAGCATAACATTGCTGATCCGTTTACAAAGGCTCTTAGCCTAAAGTGTTCGAGGGCCATCTAGAAAGTCTAGGATTACGAGCTTTGCACAATATAGTCTAGGGCAAGGGGGAGGCTTGTAAAGGGTGTAGTGTATGCTCTAGTTTATTGTATGTGTAATTTATAGTATTGTACAACACCCACTGGTTTGAGCTTTTGTACACCCCACTAGAGCTTAGTTCAAGTGGAAGTTTGTTGGGTTATAGACCCTAAACTCGTGGTTTATAAACATAAAACAAAAATTATTAAATAAAGTTGTTATTGATGTTTCATCTAGAATTGCATTAACCCAAATCCAATAAACTAACATTTGAGATTATGTCATGTAATTGGAATAGTATATTACAGATATATAGTATATATTTAATATACGACATATATATTTGATATACAGTGTATATATATACAGTATATATTCGATATACAGGTGGATAATGTTCCAGTAGTAACCTAAAGGGTCTATAGTATATAGATAAGATTGGGTACCTTATATTGGTAATACTATGGATACGGCCCACTTTGTAATAGTTACAAATGACTTCATCCAAGTCGTTTGTGTGGAGACATGCAAATGGGGGTATCCTATACAATGAGTTTGTATAAGACCGGACCGCGAAATAATTAATCTTTAGTTGTAACACCGTTAGCTAATAGATTAATATTTCAATAAGATGACCAGGTAACTCAATCTCAATCCTGAATGAGTTTGTATGGCTGAGAGTGGCCCGAGTCACCAACTCAATATTCCTACCATTTTGGGGACGAGACCGAGTGAGAAGCTGAGAATATAACTACACAAGATGGAATTCACTCATTCCCGACTTTAAGGTAAGTAGATAAGTTTTCTCTTAACTGCTGACTCCAGGACTTGACTTCCAGTTATTGGTCAGACCATAACCGGATTGTTCATTAGAGGATTAGCGGTACTTAAGGTCCAAGATGTAACACGTGGGTAGAACGGTAATTTGACCCAACTGTGGTTACGAACACTCGTGAAGGATTAACTTGTCGTTAATTGTCAAACTCTATGGACGCAAAATATTCTACAGTGAGAAGAGTGCAACTGTGGGTCTTTAGTGGAATGATCGATAGTTAACCAATATTGATTAATATGGTTAATGAGTTTAATAAATTAATCTCGTATTGTTGGAGATTCTGATCTTTATGTCCATTAGGTTCTCTTGCTAGCTCTTAAATGATAGTTAATCTTGAAAAGACTTTGAATTGTTCAAAAATTTTAAAGGAATTAAAGTTAATTGATGTTGATACATTATCATATAAAGTTAATTTTTAATTGGATTCAAAATTATGAGAGGATGGATATTAGAATTTGATTCTAATATGATTGATTAATTTAAGTTTAATTATATTAATGAGATATATAAATTTGGTTAAATTAAATTAACTTTAATTTAATTAAATTAATAATTATTTTTGTAGTTAATTAAATTTGATTTAATTAATTTTTAATTAAATTAAAGAAAAAAAGAGAAACAAAAAGGAAAAAGGTAGTGGAGACTTTTCCCACTTCCCATCATTAATGGTGGAAAGTGGGGAGGTGGTAAGTGGGGAAGTGGTGAGTTCCACCTCACGCTTCCTTCGTTATAAAATGGATGTTCTCCCGTTTGTTTGATCAGTTGAATGAGTTTCTCAAAACTCTAACGAGAAAAGGCTCTCTCAATCTCTCAATATTCCTTTTAATTTAAGACGGTTTCCACAAATCGAGTTCTTAACATCTAGATGATAGTGAGGAAGACTTTTTGGTGCCATTGGTGTCTACATTGCAGAAGTGTCCTCAAAGGTATGTTAACTACTTCCATTTTAGAATTCTTTCGTCTTTTCTTTGTTATATTACCAAAACAAAATCGAAGCACACGTGTTCATGCACTTTTGCTGTGGGATTCGATCCCTTTAGTTTTGGTTTTATGCAACACACTGAGACCTAACGAGGGGGGCACCACCCACTGTTTGTCGGGAGCGTCCGTCCCTCCATCAGCCTCGTACAACTCGGCGTGCCTCTACCTCCATAACCATCGTCCTTCCTGATCGGCCACCTACACTTATAAAAGGGAAGGACTCACACCAATACCAAGTGAAAAATCTATCACTGAAATCATAAGGTGTCTACGCCTATCTATTCTCTTTCGATTACTGACTTGAGCGTTTTGGAGTACATTAGATGGGACACCACACCAACATCGAGTTTCCTAGTTGCATACTCATTTGCTCCTCGACGAACACACTCATGCGGGGATACATGGACCTCTCCAAAATTCGCTGTCAACAAATATAAATACTAAAATTAATGTAAAATAAATACAAAAAATTATGACTATAAGTATACATAATTTGACATTAGTTTGTTCAAAATAAAGTATAATTAAATGCCCTATATCAATTAAAAAAATATTAAATTTGAAGTGTTTAGAAATTTTAATTCATTAAATAATTAAAATTTCAATATTTCTTAATTATTTGCTCTAAATACAATTAATAAACTTCAAAATGTTTTTTAATAAAAAAAAACCGAAAGTAAAAGAATATACAAAAACAATTGCATTATGGAAGTAGAGGAATATACAAAATAATTACATTACGGAATTGTAGTTTGCATGATCGGGCGTGCCAAGCAAGGACCTTGCCAACGTTCTAAAAGCTTTGTCATTCCCATATAATTCACACATAATATTATATTTTATCTAAATTCACTAGGGGCATGTGTCCCTTATCCTAACATGGATCCGTCCCTCCAAATAGATGTCAACCTAAACATAGTAATAAAGTTGGAATGGTTTACCACATGTGTGTACTGTACTAAATAAATAAAAAGATAATAATTAAATATTTCATTTTTTTTTTTCTATTTCTCTTTTTTCACTACCTCATTCCTCTCAAGAAAAGTCCATCTTTCTATTTTTTTTTCCGTTCCATTTTTTCTTTTAAATTTATAATTCCATCTCGTTGCGAAAACTACTTACCAAATTTTTCTTTCCTTCCACAGTTTTCAAAATACAATAAACCACAATAATAAGAGATATAGGACAAGTGTAGTAAACCACACAAACAAATTTATACTGATTCACCAAACTATGAGTTATGTCTAATCTTCCGTGACAACGAGTTCTAATATGATTTTGCATAATGGACATATAACACTGGAGATGTCCCAACAAAAGTACCAAATTTCTAGGAAATACAACAATAAAAACATCACTAAATACCTACCATAATTGGTTGCCGACGATGCACTACAACCCGAACATCTGTATCTCTGCCAAAAGACTGATGCCACGCCCTGAAACCAGTGCACCAACATAGCTCATGGCAGCCACTTTGATGTGCACCCACAAATAAAGAAACCTAACTGAAAGGTGTATTTATTAAACACCTTTGCTACAGCCTCTAGACACTGGAAACACCACCTCGTCATAAGAAAGCAGCGTGCGCCTCTTTTTTTTCCTTGCTGTTTCGCTATAGCGCCGTGACATCGTGCTCTTGGCCTAATGGTCCTACAGCACCCAAACACCCTTATTTTCGTTCCTTCTCTATTATACTTCATCGTAATTCATTCTGACATCGATTTCGCTCCATAATCGCAAACATCTATTACATGAGGGACTAAAATAAACATTAAATATAATTATTTTTCAAAATAGAATTGGATTAGTAGTAGTGCGCTTAAATATTTTTCATACTCTGTATTGAGAGACGTTGAAGATCTTGGGTGAAATGGGTGGCGAATCTTTCCATTATATCTCTTTGCCGCACCAAACAAATCTCCACTCCTCCGTTAGGAGAGTCTGAGAGACAAATGGCTCCAGTCTTGTCAATGGAAGCCATTTCCACCTTCCTTGGCTTTCCCCAACCAAAATCAACACTGTAGACCTCAAACCTCGGCGATCCAGCAACTCCCACCATCTTATCCCCCGCGGTATTTATAGTATCTAGCCACGAAATACATTGCTCGGCGCCGTCCAAAAGTGTGTCAGCGGAATGCAGGTTCTTTGTTGCTCCGTTGATGGCTTCTGCTGCAATTCTGACTCCATCTTCCCCGACCAGACTTTCTCTATCTGCAACAACAATGCGGCCAACGATGCAATTCCCGAAATATCCAGCCGGCATCGGCGGCTCCAGGCGAGCCCTGGCATCCACGTTCAGCACAAGAGAGATTTTGGAATTTGAAGAATCTTCAGCCTTGGCCAAACAAATCCAGGTTAATGCAGTGGTCAGCGTGAAGGTGGAGAAATTGGTGATTGCTGAGAGTCGTTTAAGATTTTGGAGGTTTTTGGGAGTTAATTGGAACGTGGCTCGGACTGACTCTGGTGGGGCTTTTGCATCCCAAATCATTAAGCTTCTGTTGTTCGGGCCTTTGAGATTTAACCATGCGTTCAAGTATATGACCTCAAGACCTTTGGAATCCTTGATCATGGTCCTATCATAGAACGGTGTAAGCTCGGCTGTTGGAGACGACGACGACGGGGACGTTCTGTCAAGTTTGCACATACGAGCCCATGACTTCATGAATTCTGTTGAAGTTCTTCCGTCGAGAAGAGCATGGTGAGTGGAGATTCCTATGCAAAACCCTCCTGTCTGAAACACAGTCACCTGCACCACAGACCAAAGAAGGAAAGAGGGAGAGTTAATCTTAAATTAAAATGTTAAGATCTCGATGATTATTTTGTTTTTTATTTTCTTAATTACAATCACTACTTCTACTTCAATCGATGTATTCCTTTATCTTGTTATTTAGATTTTAAAAAATGTTTTCAAAATATAAGCTAAATTTTGATGGAAGCAAACGAAATTATGACTAATTTGATAATTCTGTAAAACGGACCCATGTCAACTCATGTGTTTTGTTTGTTTTGTTCTCAATTAAAAAATAATTGAAAATGTAAGGTAAATTGAACAACTAAAAATGGTTGTGTTTTAAAACGTGTTTTTGATTTTTTAAATTTGACTAGGATTAAAAAATGTTCTAATTAAAAAAAGAATGTGACAAACATTATTAAAAAGATAAAGAAAAAACAGCATAATCTTTACAAATGAAAAATTTTAAATGAACTTTGTTATCAAAAGAGACTTTAATTTAAAAAAAAGCTTATTTCTTATTTAAATTTGGTTAACCATTCAAATGTGTTCCAAAGAGATCAACATTAAATTGTGAGAGAAAACAATTATAATTTTTTAAAACAAAAGAAATAAATAAAAAGAAAAGATTACATAAGTATATACATAGGCACATATAAACTCAGAGTGATGAAAATTTATGGCTGTGCCCTTAGTTACCTGCAAAGTCATTACTACAGTTTGATCATCGGAGGATGGAAACTCAGGTAAGAGCGGATCATACTCTATGGTTTCGCGTAAGTTGTTGCTGGAGAGATGATAAAAATCGGCATCTGATTCGGCGACGGTGAACAAAACTCCGTTGCCAGGGGCAGCTTGGATGGTGGGTTTGTAAGAATGTTGAGGCCAAATAAAGTTTCCGGCGAGAGGGGCATAGTGTTGGAGAATAAGAGAAAGGGAAGATTTGAGCTTTGGAACGATGGTTTGGAAGAAGATAGATTTGTGTGAGATTTGGTAAAAGTAAAGACGTTGAACCGGAGGAAATCTCAACCATAAAAGGTCGAAGAACGTCGGAGAGAGCGTCGCCGGAGAAGAAGAATACGAGTCCGGCGGAGGAACCACTCTGCATACTTCCAATATCTTCAATGTTTGATTTTCTGCCATGGGATGGGACTCTGCCTTTGCCAAAGCTTTGTTGGAGTAGTGGACTTTCTTTAAGTTATTCTAATGAAAGGGAAAGGGAGAATACTTTTCCATTCTCTCTCTTTTATTCCGTTTCATGATGATTTTGTTCTTTATTTTCTATTTTTTAAAATTAAATTTATAAAGCATCTGCTTTTGAAATTGTTTTCCAAATTTAAGCTAAATTTTTAAAAACTAAAAACGAAAAATAAAAAATTTCCAAATTTTTGTTTTTTGTTTCTAATATTTCATTAAAAAGATTAAATGTGTTTTTAGGGAGGATGAAAATAAATCGAATCAAAATGGTGACCAGAAAAAAGCATAATTTTTAAAAGTAAAAACTAAATAGTTTTATCAAATGAGAGACTAGAGTTTTTAACTATAGGGGAGACGAAGGCAAGAAATGAGTGAGAAGAAATTATTCTTTCTTTTCAAATAATTTTTAGCATGTAATATGCCATGATTGCCATCCCATTTCAATAATTCTACCATAAACGACAAATCAGTACTCACGTGGTACAATAATCATTGAGGATTTGTAATGGGCAGCATATAAGTTTTCTATATTTAGCAAAATAGCATGTCTTTTTTATATTTTCAGATATAGCATTTTTTTGAAAATCCTGATTTTAAATTTTCAGTATTCCCAAATTGCCCTTTTCAATTATCGCTTCGTTATTATATATCAAACATATATCACATATATATCAGGAGTATATCTGACAATATTAGTATATCATAAGTAAATCAATAGTATATCAGAAGTCAATCAGTTCTATATCAGTTGTATAATAGTAAATCACTATTTTACTTGCTTTAACCCTTTGTCTTGTATTTATGATCAATTAGAAATCAGTAGGTACTAACATGCATGGAAAATGAGAAAAATTTGATACTTACTGAAAATGAGAAAGAAAACTTGAAAGGAACGCGAATGTGAACGTCAATGGTGATTTTCGAAATTACTATGAATGAGAAATCAATTAGAAATTAGAGGTAAATAGAAACTTAGGGTTTTTCTGTATATCAATAATATATCAGTGATATATCAAGTATACATCGTACATATATCAATAGTACAATTAAGTTTTATTTAAAGTTTTAAAGATCAAAACGAAATCAGCAACAATGTCATTCTTAAAAGGTTTAAACATCATTCTTGTGTATCAACATCAACATCAAATCAGCAGCAAAGTCCTTCAACAAAAAACTTAAAGGTTTAAACATCAAAACGAACCAGTAGCATAAACCAAAAGTAGACTAACAATGTCATTCTTAAAATTCTATAAAAGAAGAAGCATAAGTTCCAGAAGCATAAGTTCCAACAGTCTAGAAAAGCGTAAGTTTCATTCTTGTATAATCTATAGGTAAAAGCTTGGGACATCAATCTTCGTTCTTGGTGATTGTCGTGTCTTCGGATATAATATCTTTGAAACTTTCCGTTTTTCCATAGACAACACTTTTGACGTTGGTTTATGTTGTCTTTTGGGATGAACGACATCAACATCTTCGACGATGTTTTTTTATTTCATTTTTCGTGTTTGTACCATTGCTTTTATCTGAAAAAAAAATTATTTCATATATTAGTAGTATATCAGAGAACATATATTAGAGGTAATATGTTCGAAATAATTTGTAGATATCATAGTCATATCAGAAGTAAATCAATTTCATATCATATGTATATCAAACATATATCACATATTATCAACAATATATCTGTTAATCATAGTTATATCAGAAGTAAATCAATAGTATATCAGAAGTCAATCAGTTTTATATCACCTATAGTAGTAGATATCATAGTTATATCAGAAGTAAATCAATTTCATATCATATGTATATCAAATATATATCACATATATATCAGGAGTATATCTGCAATCATAGTTATATCATAAGTAAATCAATAGTATATCAGAAGTCAATCAGTCTATATCACCTATAGTGGTATATATCATAGTTATATCAGAAGTAAATCAATTTCATATCAGATGTATATGAAACATATATCACATATATCACAGGAGTATATCTGTCAATCATAGTTATATCATAAGTAAATCACTACTATATCAGAAGTCAATCAATTCTATGCCACCTATAGTAGTAGATACCATAGTTATATCAGAAGTAAATCAATTTCATATCATATTTATATCAAACATATATCACATATATATCAGGAGTATATCTGTCAATCATTAGTATATCAGAAGTCAATCAGAAATAATTTATTGTTGGTACGGGCCTGCAGGGTATACTTGTAATTTAGAACGTGGGCATCTGTTTTTTTGCAAAAAAATGCTATATTTGAAAAATTCAAACCTTATTGCTATTTTGCTTAATTTCCTAACTTTTTTTGTCATATCGCAAGTTGCCCCATAATCATTCTCGTGTTCACGGACACCAACCAGTTTTGTAGTAACAAAATAAATGAAATCAACTTTCTTTCCTTTCACTCATTTATTTATTAGAATTATATATTGTTATTATTCTGTTTAAAAAGGTTTGTACTCCTACCGTGCTCTAAAATTAGCAGATTTATTATATTTATTCATTGAAAGTGTAGTAACGAATGACAGTGTTAAACAATGATTTAAGTTAAAGTAATGCAAGAACTCCTATATACATAATAGATTTGTATATTGATGTACTGTTAAGCTCAATAAATTTTGACGTCTAAGTCAAACAATGATTTAAGTTAAGCATAACAAAGAGCAGGGTTGTAACAATGTATGTCGCGCGCATGACCTCTCGTCTTATTTATAAACAAAGTCTTCTCTACTTTGGTCTTGAGTGAAAGGTGAGATATTACATATTGGTATTGGTTCAAGGTGGTCTACAACCTTGTCTTGGATGGGTCTACTCAACCTATTAGTTTTATGGCTTCAATCAAACCAAATATTTTGATGACAGAAACTAAGTATAAACTAACAATGTGAGTGTTTCAAAGTGTCCATAGCATAGAGTTCGAAAAGTCAAAACCAATGGCTGTCAAATCACTCAAATCGGGTCAAATCACTCACCCGTAAAAGGGTTACTGCAGTAAAATACCCAAGAAAGAGTCTTGAGAAGTGGAGTAGGAATTTCCGAACCACTATAAAAATTCTCGGTGTCACCACTCTCTTCTCTTCTCTCTTTTAAATTCAATATATATCTACTTTGAATCTTGGTAGATTGCATATAGGTTTACCTAAATATTTTGTTCAATATTTCCTCTTCTTGTTAATCTTCTTTTATTGATTGCATAATTGTTCATTACCTTGAATTTATTTTTAATTCAACCCTATTGACCCCCCCTAGTGTTGGCACTCGATTCTACAATTGGTATCAGAGCGAGTAGCTCAGTTCTTTTTAAAAAGTTTCATTTTTTAAAATTCCATCTTTTTCTACAACTATTTATTATTTTTTTAAATCTGAAATTCTCTTTATTATTGAAGAAGAGTTTGAAAAATTGAGTTTTTTTAGCCGATTTTACTAGGAATTAATTTTCCTCAAAAATCGACTTTTGAAAACTATTTTTTTCCTTCACTCTTGGAAATTTATTTTGCTTAGAATAAATCTTTAAATATTTTTGAAATTTAATTTTTCTTGATTCTAAAATTCATTTTCTTTGAAACTTTTCTTAAAACTTAATTGTTTGATCTTATGACAAACATTGGGGTTAATGGATTTAATTAGGGTCATTCTACCACTAGACCACCTCTTTTTGATGGAAATAATTATACTTGGTGGACAACTATGATGAGAATTTATAGGTGAGTTATGGGCGGTTTTTAGTCTTATTCTAGGTGAGCCCAATGTGATAATTTCACTTTTGGCCACCTTTGATATACTTATGTCTATTGAATTTCTTTAGACCCTCATGTGGACCATTTTGTACAATGGTTTTGAGGGATGAGAATGTTTAAGAAATTGGTATTTTATGTTGGGATAAACAGTTAATTTTATAGACCAATTATCTCCTCTTCTGTGAACCTAATAGAAAAAATATAATAATAATTCAAACAAGCACAAGATAGAAGCAATTTTAACATGGAAAAACCCCCAGTGTGAGGAGTAAAAAACCACGGACCAAAGTCAAAATCTCCACTCTAATCAATAATGGGTTACACCAAGTTCTCCCTAGCAATAACTTGAGGCATACAATAATAATATTTCGAGACAATAAATCTCGACAAACAAGGGAATAAATCGGAAAAGAAAATTAGAAAGACTCACTTAAAAATTGGCACCAACTACCCACTGTATCTGACTGTAGGCACCTCTAAAAAAAATTCTCCACCATCCAGATTGAAGACCCTCGTGTTGTAAACACGCTGTCAAAATCTCACCTCGATCGAGTTACGGATCGACGTCCGATCGTGCCAAAAAACTCTACTGTACGGAAGGTTTTTCATTTATAATTTTTTCTGTTTTCTCTCATCGATGTACCTGCAAAAGCTTTTCCCTTTTTCTCTCACCCTATGTGGTAGGTCGCTGCATGTGTTTTATAAAGTAAACAAAATAATATTAATAAAAAAGATCCTAAAAAGCCAAATGTGCCTTCTTCTAGTTGGGGTTCACAACAAGTGAAAAATACCCAACATTTCCTTCTTTGGAACAAATTCCGTGGGGTTGAGAATATGGGAATTAGTTGGGATTCTTTCATATCCATTGCTATGGGGTTTCTATTCCATCCCAACTTTGTTGGTTATCTTCTTTTACTTTTTTGGCTTCGTTAAATTGCAGCAGAGGTCTTGTGAGAAATGGGTTGGATTTGGGCATAAAAGTCAGCCTTTTAAAAAAATCATAAGACTCCTTTATCATCCCTATCTAGTCCAACATTCTTGCACAAGCTAGTGATCAGTCAAGGGAAGAATAAGGGTCCGTTTGGTAACATTCCTAATTCTCATTTCTGTTCGTTTATTTTTAATGAAGAAGAATGTATTGCATGATTTCAACCTCCAAGAATTCAAATATGATAAAACAATCTTTTTATTTATGTTTTGAAACAAATTGGAAATAAAAACAAG